TCACGAGGGGGGTCTCGTTGGTGATGTGGTGGCATAGCTGTGTTTGAAGGGTGACCCTCCTATTCCCAGTTTCTTTTATATAAGACATTCTAATCGTGTTCGTCCCCTTTCCCAGATAATGTAGGAGTCGATGAAATTAACGAGGTATGTATCATGATTACCGGACTAGGAGCATGCCATCCACCATCCAACGTAATACTCGACGTCAGATGAATCCTTAAAAGATAGAGTTGAGCTTGCCCTTCAGGCGCGGTCATTCGGTGAAGTTGCATATGGGCTTCTTGGTCATAGGATGTGCGGTCATTGGTGAAATTACAGTACATATGGGCTTCTTAGCTTAAAGTAGTTAACTACTAGAACGTAAGTTAATCAAAGAACATTTGCTTTCTTTTAATATAAACTAAATTCGGTTGAATTTACTTTAACAATACATTCTAATAAAGCTACCGTAGAAGAATTTGTCGACGGATCAAGGTCAAGTTGTATGTGGTATTGATTTTGGGGAGGGTTTCTTTGGATGAGAAGTCTGGACGAACAATTTAGGAGGTAGACAATAGATGTAAAGCAACAAAATTTGAATTTTTTTATGTTCCTAGAATTTATTATTTTTATTTTGACATCTTATTAATATATATATCACCCAACCCTTTATTTTATTTATTTAAACTATAAAAACGGACGATTCCAATCATGTTAACGCTATCGACAACGAAATGAAGGACTTTTCGCGTCCAAGATTCAAAATTTAAGGTAGATGCGAGAAAAGTCCATTTTCTGATATGGGTAGAACTGATAATGGGAAAGTGTTATGTAGGTAATATCCTATAAAATCCAGAGCATTTTGAAGTGGTCCATTGGTTCTGGCTGATCTTCCTTAGTGAGTGTTAACCGCGGGAATTACTCACACCTAACAATTCTTTTTTTTTTTATTTCACATTAACGGACGATTCCGAATATTTCTGATCACTTTTGCGCTAACGCTACTTACAAACGAAACGACGATAATATTACGTTACTTAGAATTAATTAGATAGCTTTTAAAGACGCGTCGCCGAAAAAAAACCAATTAAAATTTATTTTTATTGTAAAAAATTTTTGATCAATCGGTAACTAGTTTACGTTCAATAAAAAAAATTAATTTTATATATAAATTTTTTTAATTCATTAATTTATTAAAGAAAATTGAAAATTTTTAAAATTGGTGCAATAAAGTTTAACTTTAGATTTCAATAAATTAAAAACTTTACCTCCGTTTCAAATATGCTTTTCGCATTTACTAATGGCACAATAACTGCGGAAATATAATTAGTAATTGTTCCTTTAAGAATTTAAATAAAGTACATTACATGTTTCGATGCATATTATATAAACTAAGTTCAATAAATTTATCGGATTCTTTCTTCGGTGTCATGAATCTATTGAAATGCACAATTCGTCAAATGTTTCATAGTTTAACAAATATTAGATATCATCAAGAGTATGATTCTTGTTTCTTTAGGTGGATTATTTGCGGAGAATTTATTCTTAATATGGTGGATTTTCACATTTTTTTTCGTTTGTTTTTAAAAAATTTGCCCGCAGCAGGACAGCAGGAGAAAAAGAAAATGGAAAATTAATTGCTATGATTATATTCTCTTACTATTGGAGTTCACAAGAGGAAATCCACTTTTTAGTCAAAAAATTTTTTTTATTGGTCATGTGTACAAAACTAACCAAAATTTGTAGATTCCCCCTTTTCTATTGACCGTCTCCCATTTGTTTAGGAAGTTTTCTTGTTGTTATTTTACAAGACATTGGTGCACTTTTGAGAAGCGCGGCGCAGGATACCGATAATCCGTTTGGAGCTTTTTATGCCGCTTTGCTGCGGTATTTGTCAGTCGTATCGAATCATTATTGGTAAGAAAATTTGAATTTCTAAGTAATTTTATTATCATTATTTTTATTAATTTAATTAATTACCTTCGTGTATTTTTAGCAATATTTCAACTTTTATGCCTATTCGCAAGTTGCAATCTAAGGAAAGTCACTTTGGGAATCTGTAAGAATTCTTAATCTTTAAAGTTCTAATTACGACTATTTTTATTAATTTTTTTGAAATTGATTTAATCAAAACTAGAAAGAGCAAGTAAAAGTTTTAAGTCTTCCTTGAATCGTACTGAATATAAAAAGTGGGTAGAAGCCAGGAAGTCATTCAAAGAACACGACGAATTATTATCTAAAGACCAGTTGGTAAGTTTTTTGAATTTGTATTCATTCTACTACTACATTTTTATGTATAAACAGATGTTAGACCTGAAATTGTACCGAAATCAAGCTAACAAACTAAATATCATAAAATCTCAAGTATCTCGAAGGTCTTTCCTATAAAAATTTCCTACTCGTATGAATTGCTTTTGGATGAGGCTTTTTAATAA